GGCACAGTGAGGGTCTACGACAAGCTTTCCTCGCCATACGCTGTTAATATCGGAGGATGGTAGAGCTACCCTATGTCCCGATACTTCTTTAACTTTTTAATTACGGGCTCTAGATTTCCAAAACGTTGGCTAAGAGCTTATACCAGGAGAGCGCGCGACAGAATTAGATTATGCTGATGACATCGCCTTACTTGGTGACGATCCACAGGGTAGGCAACGCATTCGGCAACGTTTGGTAGTTGGAGCATCTAAGTATGCCATAAGCTTCGACCTATCGAAGCGTAACGCGTTGCTCCAGAAGTGGCCCACACCTGCTCCCATGCCTACATTTGCGGGTGCAAAACGTGAAGAGGTAGATAGTTTCGTCTGTCATAGGAGCAGCGTTTCTGCCGGTGGGACTAAAAGCAAAGATTGTTTCTTCGCATCGTTTTCGCCCGATCACGATCACTTTTTAATTCGTATCGTTTCTAACGGACACTGAAAGCTTTTTCTCTTCCCCTGTACATCTAATCCCTAGTTGTCAATATCCAGACTTTAGATCCAGGTGCATAAATATCCTCGACTTATGCAATTTATCAAAATATCTACAAACGATGTCACGGAGATTTCGGAAGTTCACATAGAAGTGGTAATTCCCCTTAGTATTCTTCACTTTATCAACTGGGCAAGTGTACGGGGTCTGCGCCTGACCAATCACATCCGCAATCAGAATCTATACTTGTTTCTTCACCTCAGTCTCCAAAATAAATCGCTATTCGCCACGACCTCTGGGGGCGATACGTCTGTCGGGTTGGCGCAATGGTGGTCACAAAATCTATACGGGAAACCGTCCCCTCCTAGCAGGTACTTGCTGATGAATGACTGCGAGGCCGGGCTTGCGTGTAACGCGGCAACAACCGAGCGCAAAGGAACACTGCTTCCACTGTCAGTGATTGGTGACGATGAGAGGTAATGGCTGATTTTGAATCGGGGTAGTGAAACCCGGAAGGAAGCCGTTCCGCTGATGCCGCTTTATCTTTGCAAGATAGCGAGATGTTTATAATGTTGTATTGTTGTCAATTTGTAGACGTCTTCGTTTTGCATGTTTGCTTAGGGCTGTAAGATTTTCCGGTGTGTCCCCGTTTCTCACCCCGTATTATTGTTAGTTCCGTTGTCATTATTATCATATCCGTTGGCTAGAGGTGAAAATCACCTCAGCTATTGTGCCGCAATCCATTTGAACGAAAGAGAAAGTAATGCCACACAGACTCGCTGGTTAAGTCACCGGCAACGGATGTACATCATTCCGGAGAGCTAACAGCCGACTATTGTGCTGGAAAAGTAGGTATTATGTTATGCAAATGAATTGCGATCTTGGTGGGAGGAGAGGGACAAAGAAACAATCCCAACGCCACTGAAGTCGGCTCTTAGTCATATCGACACGTTTATCCAGCCAAACGTGCTCATCGTCTTTCGGACCGGAGCAGGCCGCCTAGACTCTTCAGCGTAGGCCAACATCGAACTATGGGTCTTCCTTTCTCTCGACCACGTCATCACTTGGCTATCTCTACTCTTCTCCCATCCACATCCCCGGCGCGCAAACAACACACCTCCCTGGAGTCTGTGGGCTACCTACGCAATTCAGCCTTCGGACACTGGTGCGTGAAATAACGGTGCTAAGCGGTTCACTTCTTCTTCATGTGTCCTGAACAAGGCGTCGAACACGCTGGTTACCCCCGCGGTGTTCCCACCAGATGTGAGCCAAACTGTGGAGACACCGACGATCGAACTTAACTAGCCATTTTATATCGACTTGTCTAAGCGGCCAGGTTTCACAACCGTACAGCAGGATTCAACCTACGCTTCAGGTCAAAGGTGATGTCGCGCCGCCGCCATAGGTGTCGAAGGTTAGCAAAAGCGCCTCAAGCTTTTGCTATACGGTTGGATATCTTATCTTCGATCCCAAGGACGCTGATATAACTTCTCAGGTAGTTTAATTTTTGAACGACTTCTTGCTGATCCCCACTAAGAGTCAGCGCAGGAGGCGGTCAATGTCAATCTTGGAGGAAAACTTTGCACTTCGAGGGTGCGACGCAAATCCCTAAGCGGCTGACAGCCACTGCTAATCTGTCCAGTGCCGCTTGGCACATTCTTGAGCTGTCACAGATGAGAGCAATCTCGTCGACATACTTCAGGTTAAGAATTCGTCCTTCTGGGAGCAGCTCCACACCTTCATGGTTGTGCCCTATGCACGCGATCTCCGTGACTTCGTCAATAGCGAATTTGAACGTGAAAGATGACAGCGGGCATCTGTGTCTTACACTGCTGGAGTTACTGAAAGGGGACGACAGCTTGCCGTAAGCTCTCACTTTGTCCGAGTTTCCTGCGCAAAGCGCTCTGATAATATTTACATATTTTTCGGGCACACCTTTCCTACGTGGACAGTCCCAAAGGGCACATCGATCAACTGAGTCGATGGCACCTTTGATGTCGAGGAACACAACGGTGAGCCGCCAATATATGTAACGGTGCTCCAACAGCTGGCCCAAAATGAAGATGTAGTCGATCCAGCTACGACCTCGAGGAAACCCGGCTCGCTCTTCACAGATCTGGCTTTCCCGATACCCAGACAGTCTGTGAAGAACGACAGGCAAGCAATTTGGAGGCGATTGAGATCTGACTGATTCCTCTGTTGTTGCCGCATTACTTGAGAATCGGGACAATAATGGAGCGGCTCCAGTCGGTGGGGACAGTTACCTGCTCCCACAGTTTCACTAATAACTCGTGTAAGTCATTCCTTACGACAGGTCCCCGAATTTGAAGTGGGCTAGATGAAGATCACCTGGTCCCATGGCTTTATTCAACTTTCGCAGTCTTTTCTCACTTTGTCTTCTGAGAGAGGGGGCGGATGCAAAAGCACAGCCCAGGTAGCAGAACGATCATTAGCCGGTAAGCACTCTAACAATTATGGCCGATTAAATTGCCTTTCAGAGTGCTCAGCCCTATGCTACAAGCGTTTTGACAAGTTGTGAATAGGCTGTGCACTCTCATCACGTATAGTTTCAATAACATCAGCTCTCCTGCAACCCGGATTAATTTCCTGTGGTTACCGAGGGCAGTGGTCACTTGCATTTCTGACACACGGTGAGGCCACCAAGCTTCGCGGTCTCTCTTCAGGCTAGCGCGGAATTTTTCGGATGTATTTGCGAGTCTCATTTTGTTCGCTTCCAAGCGGAATATGCTGGCAAACATCGCTGAGTTGCAGAGACTTCGAAAAGACCTAATGTTCACCTTGGCTATTAGACCTCAAACATGAAATTTACCTGCTGCTAGTAAGGTCTGGTGACAATGACACCATTGACTTTCAATTGTACCCAGTGACCGCTTACTCATCCTGCATGTCTGCGTACTTCGATACGGATTCAGAAAATGTGGCTTTGCCAGTTGTCTAGTGTCTATGCGCTTACAAGGGCGTGGAGGGCGCAAGCCAAAACGCATCCGCAGATCAGTGTGCATGGTCGGTGTCCACACATGTGCTCCAAATCGAGCGACAGTTTTGGACGCAACCACTCCAGCGGTTACTGATCGCAGTCTGGTCGATTTGCATCCAAAGCTTGTGTTAGGCTGGCCGGCGCCATGGCACTTATGGCGGGTGCTGTGTCCAAAGTTAGTGCTCGCAAGAAATAGGTGGGCATCTTCACACAAGTGAAGTAACCGCTCACCTTTATCGTTTCGCGAGCCTGCACTCTTTTGGCCACCCGGCTTCAACTCATCAGTGGACAATTTTCCAACTTGAGCGCTCAGCTTCCCAACCTGCACTTCAGTGTCCGTGCTTGTTCTGTGGCGAAGGAGCCCGTTCAGTTGGCGATCGAAGTCGTCTTTTACTGAATTATCGCTACAGTTTGTGACGCGTAGGTAGGGATGACGAATAGATACCTATTTGTCCCGCGTGACTTTGAAGCTTTGAACGAGCCAGTCAATCGGACCCCACACATCCGGCTACTGATTGAGATCCAGTCAACCAGATCAGCTTCAGTCCTGCGACTCAAGACAATACCAACACCGGCTTGGCCGGTACTCGAAGCGGCATTGTCTCCGGATAGGTGCAGTTAGAAAGTACTGCTAGTCTCATCTGAAGGGGATAACGGAGCGAGCACAGAGCTCGATTACTGCAGACAGATTTCTGATAGGCAGCAGATATCGATCTAGAGGATCTCTAAGGTTTGGGTTAGTGCTGCCTGTTGACCGATTTCTCATAATATGCATACGTTGTGGCATGTTAATCTGGGGGAGGATCGAGGGCTACAAATTTAGGCCGATGAACTGGACTTGACCGCCTAGGTCCAGGCCTAGATAGGAGAACGATTAAGCTTCACAACCAAAGTCTTCGATTCAAAAAACCCAATCGCAAGGCAGCGGGTTTCGCAGGGGAACTACAATGACTCCGTTTTAGGAGGACCAGGGGACTAAGTTTGTTTGACCAGTCTGGTATGAGTGACTCTGAAGGTGCCATAAGCACCACCCAGCACAGCTCAATTGATCACTGAGACGCACAAACTATAGCACCACGGTCCTTATGGTTGTATGGCAACGAAGCACCATTTCAAATGGCTTATTATTGTTATCATTATTATTATAGAGCAGATAACAGTCACTAAGGCAAAGCTATCCGACTGCAGTGTTCGCTTTGATCTCTTTCCGATAGATCTCTTTCTGCTCTGCGCTCTTTGTCTGACTTACTTGAAGATAAATATTGGATTCCCTGATTAGTATGTAATATTTCTGTGCTGTCGCTACTACCGATGGACGCCTCAGTCTCTATCTTCCATGTTATTTGCTCTTCGAACATTGTAAGTTATTAATTCACACCACGAATCCTCGAATTTGGCGGCCATCATTTATTATCTGTCGTGTTGCAACTTGCATGCGCTGATTATACTAAACCATTCCCTATTCGTTGTCTGTTTTCCCTTCGTGATTGGTCCCCATTTGATCGTTTTCCGTTCCCTACTTCAGAACAGCGACCCCATACATGTGAACATTGTGGCAGATCGTATTCTGAGAAGCGCAATTTGCAAGGACACATCAATTCTGTTCATTTAAGTGAGTGTGCAATTGATCGTGCCAGTTACTCTTACTTTGTATCATTTGCTTTGGGTTATCTTTGTTGGTATCGCGTGCCAATCCTGCTGAGAATATGACAACTCTTTGTTTTGCGCTCATTTTCCTCTGAAACATTTTGGTCTGCAGAATGTTCAGTTCTGTAACTAGCTACCGTAATATGTAACGTGCGAATCAATTCGTTTGACTCTGCACTTGATTTTATTGTCGGCGGCACCCTGTTCCGGATTTACTTGTCAATGGTGCTGCGAACATCAGCACTACGGCTGCGTCTTAATGAGGGACCATTGATGGCTTACGCTACACAACCTGCAGCTTCATCCACACACCCCATGTCCAGTGTAAATTCCATGGTATATGTATAAATGTTATATCTCTCTCGGCAATACGAGACATCCCCATCTCAGAAATCACATGACATCCTTTATCAATGCGGGGTTACAAAGGATTTCGAAATAATTGAGTAACTGGTAAATTTAACGAATGGAAACGTGGTCCTGTATTCACATAAAGTAATACAGTCATCCGTTGGTTTGTCTGCAAAACATTCCCTCGAAAACTTTCACCCGCACTTCCATGCGGGCATGTACATCAGCACCACTTTTCTTCTTTTTTCTTCTTATGGATTTTGGACGTTCTTGCCGGCCAGCCCTTTCCATTATTCGGCTCATTTCGCGACTTGCACTTGTTTCTAAAGCTTAGTGAGCGCATGGCATTTCGTCTTGTACATGAATAATTATTACCCTGGACGCTTCAATCCTTCACCTCAGGAGATCAGCGCAGTCGTGGCCAACCATGGATGAGGATGGGTGCAACTATGAACAGTTGAAGCAATGGCAATACACAAGTCGGTTCCCAATAAGCTGAGACACGTTTCGTCCCACTTGCATCGATCATAGTCGGTCGAGCGGACATGTTGTCACATCCGGCTGCAAGTCAGGATTGCTTCAGTCCCGACACACACTCCTACAGCTTGTACATCACTCGTCTGAACGGGTTGAAACGTGCTTTACCAGACGTGCACAGGGCAGTGGTCGGACAGTACACTGGATGTAGAACCTCTTTCAGCCAGGCACTGTGATCCCCGAGCAACATCTCACGGTGTGTTCATGCTGGAAGCCCTTATCGATCACTGATCTTGCATTTTTACATAACACACATCCATCTGGCGTTCTCCCCATGTTAGGTGTCCAATTGCTCCATTTTTTTACCGGCACTGTTGTCTTCATGGCTGCTGGCGCAATCATACCTACTTTTAGCTTACCCCACCCTTGGGTTCACTGAGAGCGTCATTTTTCATTGCCCAGTTGTGCATGCCGAGAATTAGGCGGTTGGGTGTGGTGGATCCATTTACCATGATCCACATGCTCATGATGTGGATACATAGCCATGGATAAAGTGGTGGAATGAAAATATATTACCCAAATGGAAGCTTGGAAAATAGCACAAAGGTACTCGTAATCGAATATTATCAGCTAAATGTCAGACACTTAACACAGGTTCATCACTCGTGTGGACTGTCTCGAGGCCTCCGTCAGCGAGAACGACACGTAGCCCTCTCACCAATTCTTCCCTTCCATTTTTAAGATACTGTTGTACCACATCGTTCGCTGACCACTTCTGACTCGGAGACAACTGGGTGCGGCGCTGCCGGATAGTGCACGCCGATGAAGGGGATCACTGGGCATACAAACGATCTAGCCAACATAGGCAATTCAAGTTCGACAGACACTCTAGCTGGGCGCCAGGTGACTTTTTGACAGAAACTAACTTAGCAACCTTAAGGGAGTTGGCACCCTTTCGTTGGCAGCTCGGATCAGTTGACCATGACGCAGACCAAAGCTTATTGGCCAACTAGTGACAGCAAGCCAGTTGAAGCATTTGAGAACGAACCAAATCTCCACTTATTGCCTATCATCGACTCATAATTACCGTTTAAATTAAGGTTATTTTTGATCTCCTGAATTACTTGATCCGGCCAGCGACCGCTCGTTAGCTCATTTGAGACTGAGGTAAGTGGCAGTATCCGATGGGTGAAAGTTTGGTACCGACGCCGGCCCATTTGACCACATTGCCTATGAGACGGGAGCAAGCGTGAACAATTATTGACATGTCGTCCACGCTAACGGAAGTCAACAGGCGTTTTCATTCGACATTCTGGCATCTTTCATATCACCTGTTTCTTCTCTGTCGCAATATTGTTGACGAGCAACTGTACAACTGCGTCATATTCATCCCTGAAGTGAAACTTCACATCCTGGAGGACGAGCGCAAAGCACCGAAGAGGTAACTAGCGCTCTGTGGCTGTAATGTGCCCCATCATTGCCACCTGGAAGGTCATGGTACGCATCCACTGATCTTTCAGTCAGTTGAATTTGTACATCTCAACTTTGACCCATTTATCGACTTTGATTCTGTCGCTGTGTTGAAGAAGCTATTATATCTGCGCACCCATTGGTCCCTGAAACTTAGTAAACTCACTTGAAGGCACTGGGGTTGGCATCTACGATGTTGACCGAATCTTTTCACATTCTCGTTACAGCGCGCTCCTTCTGCCGGTTGTCATTTTCCTTCAAGGGTACGGTTTCTCTTCGAACACCACAGTGAAAACGGAACATAGTTCATCTCCTGCCATACCAATACTATCTGTAATGTTGATTCCTTGGTCAGTGGAGAAGGCTGCGCCCTTAGGGCCCTGCTACTTCACGGTTACTCCGCTCCTTTCGTTCGGAAATATTATGCTAGTTTATCACGATTAAAAGAGTATTCCTGCGAATATCCGTGAAATATCCCATGGCCTTCCTGCTATCACGTAAAGAAAATATGCACCACTTATTCTAGGATCGAGCATATCGACAGCTGTGGTCATAAGAAATTCGTTCGGCTCGGTGCATACTGACATCGTCATGGCAGTGGTCTTGTCGAGGTGTGAAACCTGCCTCAACCAGTAGCACCCTTTATGGGTGACACGTTTGCTTTTGCTCCAAGTGTAGCTACCGCTCAGTGTGTTCTCACTATGCTCGACAATGCCCATCCTACTAATCGTTTCACGTGTTAACTACAAAACAAACAACTTTCTGACTTTTCTTTATGTGTTGTTGACCAACCTAGAAGACGGCTCGATATGACGCTTAGTTTACGAGGAAACCACATGAACTTGAGCTGTATGAGAACTGCAAGAGCCACAGACTGGTCCAATACAAGCGTTGCCTTGTCAAGACTCAGTTTGATCGGACACGTAAAACATGCAACGCTGATAGCATGGAGTTGCAATAGTCGTTCATCACACAGATATTGCGCGCCAACGGATATCCCGAAGCATTCATTAGATTAAATGGTCACCCGATTTAAAACAAACTGCTGTGTTTTAAATGCCTGTCTATCTGCAGTTGTTTTTAGCAGTTTTCACCCTGTGATACTGTGATTGATGTAGGATTCCTTGCGCTGTCTGGTGGTCATAGAATTACATCCATCGGATCATATCTAAGGAAGCTGCGACTCAAGATGTGGTTTTTATTGCATTCGCCCATCGCCTGCACTTTTCGCTATCATTCACCCAATACAAGCCACCTCCAGCGGCTTTGTCCTACAGGAACCATTCTGGATCAGTAAGCTAGCCAAACTCCCCGTGTACGTCTGTCCTCGTCATGCACGCTCACCTACGGTAACCCACGTCAAGAGTCGACTGGGACAAAGAACGCGAGCGTCACTCGCTCTCTGCTTCATATGTCCGGACAAGACAACGTTCGTTTGCAACAACGGCCCTCAGTGGAATTGATTCCACTTAACCGCAAATGTGGCAAGCAGAAATGTACACGCCCAGTTAAACGGGACATTATTTGTGAATTTTGTGACCTTCCGTTCCACCTCCTTGTGCTGGTTTAAACCAACTACAATACGAGAGACAAATCAATCTGACTGGTTCGCTCTGGTTTTGCCAAACATGCAGAGCAATCCCAGTAGTCAAATGCATAATATCGCTTTTGAAAAAGTGTGAAAAACAGACTGAAACAGTCCAGCAGATGGCGAGCTTCTGTACTTTTCCATTAGAATCTAACAACACTAATCTTTCTTTACAACAATCCGCTCAGAGCTCTGTCCCTAAGTCGAAGGCTAAAGTCAAGCTTGCTAACCGAAAGGAGTATTCTCGTTCTCCCACGGCGTGCAACAACTATAACTGTCCCCATTTTCCCTCGTCGTTCACATTTAATTCCCAATCACGCTGCTCCTATTCAGCGGTGTATCTGCTAGATTAAAGCTCAAACAGACAACTCACTTATCTTTTGATAATTGTACCCCCACCATCCTGCGGGACTTGTCAAGCAACTGATTTTTTACCCGGCATACATCATTGTTCATTGTATTCTTCAAGATAATGTCGGAATGACGCGACTTTAACGACGTTTGAACCCAGACATTCGTCATATATTCATCTCTTCTAAATTCCGTTATATTTGGATGACCAGGAAACCGCCGATGTTTTTGGTCAGACCCTCTCAACCGTTCTGCGCCATTCCCCGTTGCATATACCTTTTCGTCTCTCCTTGTGGAACTAGTTACATTGGCATAACAGATCACTGTCTGGTTCGGCGGATGGTAGATCATATTCCGTAGCAGTTTGTCAAGTTGACGGCGCAACTGGTAACGAGACAATGAGCGGCAGGTAAGTCGCCACTGTCATCCATCGCTAGACACCTAATAGGTACGGGTCTTCAGTTTGACCCTGACTCAACGTTTTCGGTGATCTGCCGAAACAAAAGCGCCGGGATGCTTACGTTTGCCGGGGCCGTGACAGTTAACCGTCAGTGTCCTACTTTTTTACAAAAGCAACTGGAAGTACCTCTAAAGCTATCTTGCGTTTCGTGATCTTTACCACAGTCCCGATATCGTTTGCCTTGCTTTGTTGCGCTTTCCTTTACTGAGCCTATTCAGAACGATCGTTTCCTCCTCTCACGTGATCTATGTAGGTGGTTAGTTTGTAAGTGATCAGATAACACAAATTGGTGCCATCTCGCAGTGATTGTCTTCCCATTATCTTGGAGTATGTTGACGACGTTGCCCTCATCTGTGACAGCTCATCCGTTCATCGCAGCCGATTTCAGCAAATACCATCGCACCATCTTTAACTGACGTGCGTTGAATCTGCTAGTATTTCGCAAATACCCTAGACGTTTGGCACTTTTTACAGTCATAATTTTCAAATCAGATTCTTTAAATCAAACTAATTTCTAGAGCAACGTTCCTACTTTCCACCGTGGCTCCATTGTCCTCTGTGCGCACTCGGCAGTGTGTCGTCCTAAGGTAACTGCTACTAAGTGGGCTGAAATTGACCTGCCCTTGTGAATAAGTAATTTCAATGTTAAGTTCCCAACGAGTTTGGCTAATGGATTATCGTATCTCAGTGTGTCAGAATACTAAATCCAACTGATTTTGATTCCCGAAATATACGTTATCAGTCTGGTAGACTATTTCAAACGGGACCTTTTTTATGCACTTTGGGTGCTCTCCTTTTTGCATGCCATCCCACCGACTCCTGCGACCATCGCAATGAGGCTGGACCCTACCGTGGTGCGATGGTTTGTGTGCCTCAGTGAGCTGTACCGGGTGGTGCTTTTGCACCTTCAGAGCCACTCATACCAGATTGGTCAATGGTTAAAGGCCAGACAAACTCAGCCTGCTGGTCCTCCAGATTGGGCGTTGGAATGAAGGTGGCTCCTTATTCCTTAAAACGGACTCCTTTTGTCCAGTGACAAAACCCGCTGCCTTGCGGTCAGGTTTTTTAACCAAAGGCTTTGATTGAGAACCATAATCGTTCTCCTGTCTAGGCCTGGACAACCTGACAGTATCCTGCCCATGCAATACAATGTATTTCTCTTCAAACAGTTTCTTGATGGCTGGTAGCTTACCGGAACGATGCCCATCCGTTACCGGCAGCTCAGCCAGCTTGCACCAGTTGCATTTTTTCTCCTCTTTTTCTATGTATTGCGGCACAGTAGCTGAGGTGTTCCCCCCTCTAGCTAACGTGGATGATGATGATGACGATGATGATGACCTATGTTGTTTGCGCTCTGGGGTTATGGATGTAGGAAGAGGATAGGTAGCCAGTCCATGGTTTGGTCAAGAGGAATGAAGGCCATTATTTCGCCGTTGGTCTCGGTCGGAGGCTCTCAGCTCCCTGGTTGTGGAACGAAGGACGATGAACACGTTTGGCTGCATACACTTGTTGACATCGCTAGGAGCCGACCCCAATAGCCTTTGTGTTCTGAGTTTCTTTGTCCCTTCCTCTCCTGCTTAGTTTCCCCCTCAAACCACGGTTTCACGCATTGGACATAATATAATATTTTTGCGGCACAATAGACTGCTGTTCGCTCTTCGTTATTGGTGACTGCCAGCATCGTTCATTCATTCATCATACACGTTAGCTAGAGATGGAGAGCACCTCAGCTACTGTGTCTCAATACATAAAAGAATATATGCGATAGATGCGTACCAGCTGAGCTATCAGTCACGGATGTGCATCGTTCCAAAAAACTACCAGCTGGCTACCATGCAGCAAAATTATGCAAAATTATATTATTCTACGAAATGAGATCGTGCTTGGATGGGGAAGCTAAGGGATGGGGAGGGACAACGAAACTCACAACACGAACGCCACTGATGTCGGCCCCTAGCCATGCCATGCAAGTGTATCCAGCCAGACATGTTCATCTTCTTTCGGACCCCAACCAGGGAGCCGAAACGCTCCAACGAGGTCAGTTCGAAGTGCGGGCCTTCATTTCTCTCGACCCAGTCATCGTTTGGCTACCTCTTTTTCCATCCACATCCGCGGCGCGCAAACAACACACGTCTCTGGAATCTGTGAGCTGGCACCCGCAACACCTAGCTCAGCCATCGGGGCTTGGTGCGTGAAATAACGATGCTGAGCGGTTCACTACTTCTATATGTCCGAAACAAGGCGTCAGACAGGCTCATTGCGCACACGCTGTTCCCACCAGATGTGGGTCAGGCTGTGAAGGCACCGGTGGTCGAACATAACTGGCCTCTCTATATATCGACTGGTCTAAGGGGCCAAGTTTCACAACCGTACAGTAGGATTGAACCTACCGCTGCATTGTACACTCTTCAGGTCGAGAGTGATGAACGTGGGACCATTGACCTTCAATTCTACCCAATGCCCGCTTACTCAACCCGCATTCCAGCGTACTTCGATACGGATTCAGAACAGCTGGCTGCGCCTATTGTATGATGTCAATGCGCTCACTGCGTCGTCGTGAGTGCCCGCCAAAACGCATTTGCAGGCCAACACATACAAGTGTATACTCTTTGTTCAGTCCTATACTCCAAATTGAGCGATGGTTCTGGACGTAACCACTCCGACGGTAACTGATCGCTTTCTGATCGATTTGCGTTCAAGGCTAGTGGACGCCAAGTCACCCTCCGGCGGGTGCTGTGTAGGAAGTTACTGCTCGCAAGAAGTAAGTGGGCGTCTTCACACAAGTGGACTGCTCACCGTTACCATTACAGGAGCCTGCACCGTCATCAGTGAGTACTTTTCCAACTTGAGCGTTCAGACCCATTGCCGGCACTACAATGTCCGTGCTTCTTTTGTGGCGAAGTATCTCGTTCAGTTGACGACACGCCTGTTCCATGTTTTTCTTTTGTATTGCGGCATAATGTCTGAGGTGTTTTACACCTGCAGCTAACGTGTTTAATTATGTATAATGATTATTCTAGCCATCTTCTTTTGGTCAATCGCTGAAAGTCTTTCTGATTTTACTTATGGTGTCACATCACCTTTCGTCTACAACATTATTTTTCTGTTGCGATGTATTTACCTATCAAGTTCTTCTCTTTCGTACTAGATCAGCGACCTCACGTATGCAAATACTGTGAGAGAACCTTTGCTCTGTTGGTTAAGCTCCGGGAACACGAAAAGTCTGTTCACTTGAGTGAGTTGAATGTTGTGTGCATCGTTGGTTTGCAACATTTTTGCCTTGTTCCTGTCGCAGCGGTGAAATGTCTGATTGGAAGTCTCGAAAATACTTGGAGCCAATGGAATGCACGGTTCCTTCGGCAGTGGCCCACCAGTCTGTATTTCAGCTGGATATAAGAATGGTCTTTTTATAAAATTCTTGGTGGAAAACAGAACTCTTATTTTGTATGTGCACAGCTACTTACTGCAGTAATTTTTCCTCGCCTTACCGACTTTGCTTTATTTTCGTTTTAATAGCCGTTGTCTTAAATGTTGTGTACAAGTTATAGATCCTTGTTTTGTGTCATACTTTCTAACTGTTGCCTCTGGGAACACAGCATATGGCTTACATCCATATGCACGCATACCTTTCACTTTGGCAGCAATTCATTCATCAGAAACGTCCGCTTTTACCATTTTTATTATTATCAACGGAGCATTTATTTGCGTTCATGCACAGAATTGTTCTTTTATTTAAATGCATACTGAAGTATTTTAAAGGTATAAATTCCATAACATGCAATAAATATTTATTGCATAAATTGGGACATCCTGCTTTTACGTAAAGGGATTTTTCTTTCCTTGTCTACGGTTTGAATTTGCATTTTCGCGCTACCGGCTGGTGGAACGCTCCCGATTCTTTCATTTACATTACTTCCGTATGTTTTGTAAACGGTCTTCGCTATCAGGCGACGCGTCACGTTCCTCTATTTCAATTCGACAATATATACTCTCCGTTGTTTACCACCTTGTAGCTTTGCGGCTTTAAAAACCTGATCGAGATGCTATTTCTGTGTGACTGTCAAAAACCCAGGATTACGCACCAGTTCAGTAGCATCTTGAATTGCGACGAGATTGACGTTTACGCGCACATTAATTGTGGAGTATATCTCCGGCTCTATTTGGTTTCGGCATGAGGGTAAAATCAATTGAGATTACTTATTGTATGTAGTAAATATTGCGTGACTAGAACCGTAGACCTTATATCCACTCCGTGCTTTAAACACTTTAGGATCGGTCATTACGACTGATTCAACATTATGGCCCAAAGAAAAGACATCAGTTGGCTTTAAAAGAAAGGATTAGTCTGCTACACTTTCTGGAAAGCAGTAGCCAAAGAAAGACGGCAAAGCATATTGGAAGTAGCAGGACAACGGTTAGCAAAATTCAAAGAGATGAACGTGACTACTTGGAGAGATACGACACGATGAAGTCATTGAGGTTACGTTTCGCTGGTTCCAACAGATGAGAGCAGCTAACACTCAAATTTCTGGGTCGGTGATTCATGAAATTGCTAAGAGGTTCTCATAGGTATTTTGGGTTACAAATTTCCAGGCATGCAATAGTTGGCTAGGGAAATTTAAAATCCGACATGAAATTTCCCAATGAGTTTTTTGTGGTGAATCTAATGAAGTGCCTGAAGAGTTTGTACAAGGCGTCGTCGAAAGATATCCCAACTTCAGCAAGGGCTTCAACAATGCCAACATTTTCAACGCGGACGAGTGTGGTCTCTTGTTCAGATGATGCCTAACAGAAGCCTTGTTAAAGTGGGTGACAAATATTAGAGTGGAAAACATTCCTAAGAATATTTCACAGTTCTGTTTTGTGCCAGGTTACCGGAGGGGAAACTAAAGCCCCTGGTCATTGGTAAATCAGCTAGATCATGTGCGTTCAAAACCTAAATTCTGAAAATTCTCCAATCGCCTGGCTATCAAACCGATGTGCGTGGCTCACTAATATCGACATTATCCTACCAGTCGACAACTCTCCTAGTCACATTTATGCAACAAAATTTCACAAATATTTCGCTTAGTTTTCTGCTTCCAAACATGACCTCACAAATTCAACCTCTGGCCAATGGACTCAACAAAATGTTCAGTATGCACTACCGAGCCCAGTTCATGGAATGGGCTATGGCAAAGTTGTATACTAATACTTATCCCGCGGAAGGAATTACATGTGTTGCTTCAGTTAATGCTTTGGATAAGTTGTGCTCCTTTCAAAGCTCAGCCAGAAATAATACGGAAAAGGCGGATTTGTTCAATCTCTGGAGCGAGATGCCGTCGCCTTAGTAGACATTCCATCTCCATTGGTAGAATTCGACGGAATACATTTTGCTGAGTTTGTTGAATTGGATCATGATTTAGTACTTAACACTGGACCAGACCCAGATGGTATTTTCCAACTTACTGACAGGTACTCCCCTACAGACACAAAGAACAAGCACCTGATGATGCTGATGAAGAAGGCCTGAGTGACGATTATTAGGAAAACACAGAAGCTTCAAAATATGATGGCTAGATATCTTTTAATGCAACTCAAATCCTTTACTGTGGGAAAATGTCAAAGCATGCTGAGTAGCATAGCTTGTGCTGAGAGCGCTGTCTTAGTTCCCTGTCATATGAAAAAGACTTTTTCTTCGAAAAGTGATTTAACTTGCGTAATACGCACTGCGTTTTTGCTTTATTTTAACACTGCATGGTTGAAACGTTTGGTGTTACATGAGACCTCGTCTAATGTGTTCGAAACGGGTCTATCATAAAATAAATTTCCTACTGTATTACTCGCAACGGTAAAGCAGGTCACTCCAAGTTCTGGTAGAGAACCTCCGTATGTTGATCACCTCTCTATGTTGACCATTTTGGTCCAGTTCCTTGAGTGGTCAACTTACGGAGATTTTACTGTAGATCATTTCCAGCACTTCTCATCGAGTTACCTTTCTGGAGTCAGTAATCATGGCTCCGACAATTGAAATACTGAATAATCGACACTCACATATGGGCGTTACGCACCGCACATTGTGTTTCGCGGTAACTACTGACAGACAAATTTTGGGCTCTGGTTACATTTTGACTCAGAAAACGCATGGATACCTTTCTGTCAGTCACTGGATGAACTTTGTAGCAAAATCCTGATGAGGCATTTTGTCTTGTTGTTGAGTTCTATTCTGCTTTTAGATTCTCATCTGCACCATTACGTGGGATGGTTGCTGCATTCTTATTTTGCCCACGATCAACCGATTATTTACTGACTGAAACATATCAGACTCAGCAATGACACCTTACTGCTGATTTTGGGCGTTCTGTGATAGCTACTGCGTTGGATTGTGTTTCTCGCGTCCGTGGAGCCTCACTAATCCCCCTTTGTGGTCATCTGTTTACCAAACACTTGCTTTCAGTTTATGTGATCACCACTTTCTCAAACTCAACTCGTGCCAGTAGATAGCTTTGCATTTCGGTGCCCCCATGGCTTATGCTCATTTGCGAGTGAATCCCCAAGATATGCTGTCATTGTTTTTTCCGGTCAGTGCAACCTCTTGGTTTCAAATCCCTTTTACCTGAGACTGCTGCGCGCTCCTCGTTGGACACGCCTGGAGTTATTTTGTATACGTCGAAGTGGCTCAAGAGAATCTCATTTGGTAGGGATCGGTTATTTGCACACTTACGGATACTAATAGATATCAACTGATTCGCGTGTCTGGTCCAAATTAAATCACCTTTGATTTTTCAGATCACTTTTCCTATTCTGCTCTGAATCCAGTCTTTTGTCCATAATAGTTTCCCCGTTCCATTATCTCTGACCAAGACCCGAGGTTCTTGGGTTCTATTTCCTTGTATTGTAAATCCACATCTCTCTTGCGAAACAGTACTCCTCCTCAGCAACAGCAACGAATTAACAATTCCAATTTTCCTTCCCATATCAGCCTCTGCGGGTGGCACCTTTGTCACCTGGAGTTCCGGGACAGATTTTAGTCCCTTCTTCTCATCATTTTCAGTAACATACGTTTGATCTTATCGGCAAAACATTCCGCTTATCTACTGGATTGCGGGTGAAACGGTACAAATGGGTAATACCAAACTGCGCCCAGTATTCATCAAGCTGCAAGGTGCTGAATTGGGAAACTTGGTCTGTGATCAAAATCTCCGACACTCCATGCTGGCTGAAAAGACCTCTCAGTACTTTGATGGTTACACCACTGTTTGCATGCTCCTTGCCGAACATTTGCTGAAAAATTCCACAACAATCAAGAACAGCTGTTCGTTCACACGACCAACGGAATCGGCATGTATGCGTTCCCAGGTTTTCGTCGCTGTTGACTAAGGAGATGATTCTGTGTTTTTGGGTGACTTATTAACAATTACGCATTTTACACACAGCTTGCACATATCTTCACCAACTGGTAGTGCCCTGCGTCGATGTTAAGCGAATAAACAAAAATTCGCGCAATCATTTTCGTCCCTCCGATACGAGGATGACCCCGACGGAACTGTCGTGGAATTTTAGACGGAGTTCAACAAGCATCCGTTAACGACCAGCAGTTAACCTTTCCTCAGGAACGAGTTGTGTAGCTCACCTCTCAAGGTTTCTTTGGGCCACCGTGTAGTATGATATTTGATCACTTGTTGCATGATTGTTTCTCGGATTTATGCGGTACGTACTATTACGAAAATAATCGGCAGCTTCTAAAAGAAAATCGGTGCTTGTTTCACTCCTGGTTCTAACTGTTCTGATTGTGTTGTCCCATGTGTGTAGATTTCGTTCCACTGGATCTCTTTACTTTTCGCTCTTTGAATGACATATCCGAACAAGTATATGGGATACCTCGTTTGGTATCTACCGTTAATGTGTCGTCACAATCACTGATGACCTATTCACACACTTTCCTCCTTCTTGTCTTCCATGTTGGGTAATCCTCGAGCACTACGCTATTGTTTTACACGGCGAATCCTTGAATTTGGGGGCCATTGTCACCTCTCTGTTGCACGGTAACTTGGTGCAGACATTCTACTGAATCACTCGTTATTTTTTATCAGTTTCCCCTGTGAGATTCACCTGTAAATGCTGGCTTTTATTTCCTACTGCAGATAAACAACGCTGCACGTGTGAACACTGTGGCAGATCGTTTTCTGCGAAACGTACTTTACAAACACACCTCATATCTGCTCATTCGAGTGAGTCTGAATTCGGTAATGCGCATTCAGCCTTATTTTTGTCTGACCATCTCCGTTGATATCGCATGCTTTCGGTAGAATCAACCCTGCTGACATTAATATAAAACATCTGTCCGTATAGCTTTCAAGTCCTTGCCGAGGCGCTATGCGGAAATTCCTAGCTCGTCAGTCTAGACAGTGTCCTCTTCACAGTTCGTAACTGGTCCGGCAGTGGAGCCGCGCTATATCACAGTCAATTGTCAATCGTGCAAGTCCGCTGCTGTCACCCATGTCGAAGTGCCACTAGCTGCTGGCATCCAGAAGTCATGGGGGTGGAACCCGACAGGGGCCGCAAGAAGGCGCACCACTGACCAAACCCAATAGGTTGACATGTCGGCTTCTGGTGCTTTTGCAGACTAGCCTAAGCCTGCATATTGAAAGTGACCATGATGAATGAGCTGAAAGAGATCTTACTGCCCAGGAACATTTTTCTTTACAGATTGTTCAGTTCTACAACTTGATACCATGATACGTAGCTAGCGAATCTATTCATTTGACTCTGCACTTGCTTATATGGTTGGTTACATTTGTTTCCTGTTGTGCCAAACGTTACTCTTCGTGACCCTGTCGTTAAAGAGGCAAAGGTCACTGCTGACATTCTAATGGTCCCGGTTTCGAGTTGCGCTATCTCCAACTGATGAAACCGAATATGGTCGAGATGCGTCGTTTTGTGCAATGTTGTCGAAATGTAATGAACATTTGGTACCAAGATGTGGAAGTAAAAGACAAGCGTAAATCTAATCTGGTTGGATTGTTACCATTTAGATGCAGGTAGCCTATTATAGGAGGATCACTGACTAAGCGACCGCGCCATATCCGATCAAGTCCCAAACCACTTATGTGGATCATCCGGATGGCCCATCCACGAAAACAGCACACAGCGGTATGGCTAGGTCCCCTATTCAACTTCTTCGTGCCCTAACGCTAAATCTCTAACTAGACACCTTGAGTTCGCTGCCAACAGATTGCGGCACCATCGAATTTCGCACACCGAGGTAGATGTTCACTGGGCGTACGTAGGACACGTAACACGTTACAGCAGATACTCCAGCGAGACACTAGAGGAAGTCTTGACAAAAACCAACTGACGAACCTCAGCGAAACTCACCAGGTGTTTGCTATATTCCGCGAGCACCGGTGGTCAAACGAAGCCAACCGTTGCATACTTTCAATGTGACATTCCCTGGTCTCTGATCTACGCAATAACACCTGCCATATCGCAGAGTGATACAACTTACCTTTCCCTGACATGCTGATATCACACTTTCACTTTAGATGGTGGAGTATCTTTAAAGCCATAGGGCTTCGATGAAACGCGAAATAAAATGTCGAGTGATGTGCACTCCGGTGACACAGCTGCCATTATGCGTGAACCGATCCGCTACTTCTAGTGGCTGTGCCGTCAGTACTAGAATCGGTGTCGTATCGGTCTAGCCTTTGGATAGTACTATGCAGTTTGAAGCCAAACGGCACATCCACTGCTTTAGATGCAAGGTATTGTCCATATTCTTAAGGTTTCTCATTCAGGCAACTAGTCGTAATTCCACTCCGGTGTAGGGATGGGTCAGTGGCAGCTTCTTTTATGAGTTTCCACGGCTATACAACTATAAGCTTTATTTTGTCATTAGTGATTAGTAGGAGAGTTCGTGGCATTTGGACTCATCCACCACACGTGGTCTCGTGATCCATGTGTGTTTAGTACTTTTGTTTGGATGAGTAGTAGTAGGGTTAATTGAATGGTATTGAGCACACGGCACTACTTTGGTTTGGATCTTAACAGTGTGAGCGTTCAACACAACTCCACAACAACTGCTTTCCATTCGTTCAGAAAGGCCACAATTGTTGCATCTGGTGACACGTATACACGGTAATGGTGCCCCAGTATACTGCGTTTTGTATAACAAATTGACCAGTGGGCGGAGGAGTAGATTGCACGCACCATTCCTACCCACTTTTATATCCCAACAGTGTGAGTCTCCAAGGCTACTGTGGTTTGCAGCGTCAGATGTGACAACCATGAGCCACACTCACGTAGATGTTCAGACGGTGTAGTTTCACCGACTATATAACTTGCAGTGTCAAGATCATAAGCAGTACTCTCGTAAGTGTCCATACAGCTCGAAGGGGTAGGTACGATGCCAGATGTTCCTCATTGTTAATAGATGATCAGTGGTACAGGTATGCTAATCAGTCTATTTCTTAGAATGCCCACAGGCTTGATGACCGTGATCATAGGACGAGGTTGACGCTTGGGGTATGGAATCGTAGTTGAGATCGAGGACACAGAGTTGCGTTGAAAGGCCCACAGGGAACTGCGTCATAATTTTACTTTACACGGAGCACAGTGTTCATGGGAATTAAGTGGTTCCGATGTTTGTGGTGGCACTGAAAGCACTCGAAGTGGGGTGGGGATGACAAGTTGGAAGACGCGGTATGTTTACTCAGTCGGAAAGGGAAGTATTAGTTCATCACGGAAAGATGTATTTGCTGTGCTCAATCGGTGGACAGATGAGCAGTATGAGATGCGAGTGGATCAAATTTAGCAATTTCTCTCATCGAACACAGTCGTCTGTCTGCCACAGATGTATTTTGCACTGACTAGCAGTATGATCCCGCTGAGGTGTCTTTCATCCTTATGCACTTAAAACAGTAATAAGATCTAACGCACATTGGCCGATATATACTGTTGGAATGAAACAGTTATTGAGGGTAGGCGACACGCACCGTGTCCGTTGGCCATGCATCTCCAATAGCTGAGGTGTATTGATATATGGTATGAAATATTTGCAGTTCCAAATCGGTCCTACACCAGCACGCTTTAGTTTTCATGGCAAATACATTAGTGTGTTCATATTCTAACAAATCGTCCGTTTTATAGCTTGTCCACGTTGAGCTTCATCGGTATCTGTTCACTTTCTGTTCCCCAATTCAGCACAGCGCCCCTTTACATGCGAACGGTGTGGTAAATCGTTTTCAGCGAAATGTTATATGCGAAAACATCTCAAATCTGTTCATTCAAGTGAGTGTTTACATGATGGCACTAGTTGCATTAATTTTATCGCCTGCGCTTGTGTCACGTGGCTTCGGTTTGATCTTCTCACTTCCCAGAATCACGTACATCTGCGGGTTTTTCAATTTTTCAAGTCCACCACTGCATTGGCTTTAGGAGCAAAAGCCAAACGCACCTCGCAACCGAGAACACACTATAATTATTGTTACTATAATAATTCTTACAACTTCCTAACAAACATTTATCTCATGGTTGCTTGTTCCTCTGTTTGTAGAGGTTGGACACTCAGCTTCGAATGATAACCCGGTTGCACAAGTAGAATTGAAGCAGGAGAGAAAAGTACAAGTTTCCTCATAATGTGGCGTTGACCTTCAATATATGCGGCGTGATTGGAACGCTGTTGGTCAGTGCTATGGTCTCCCAGTGTGAATGGACCCGGGAGGCAATGCGACGTTTACGTACATGTGGCTCTTTGCAGACACGGAGAGTAATTGACCTCACAGCTCGCTTCGAAATCACCTTCTGTATTTCATGTCCACCGCAAATTTTTGCTAGCACTTTAATTACGTGCGTACTTTTGTATATAATTTTAACCTTTATGTACCATTAAACCCCTTTGAGTTGTGTGTGCCGATGTGTTGGTCAAGGAAGGCGCTAATGTGTTCCAGATGAAAGAATTTAGCCTTAAAAATCCGTAGAATGGTCGAATTGGACACGCAGGTTTATTAAAAAAGAGCTTTGCGAACGAGTCAGATCGCTGATAGGGCAGTCCGTAGATGCCTGCGCCTACAGATTGATCATGGATGACTTGCGCTACACAACCCACAGCTCCATTCACACACCCCATATCCAGTTTAATCCCGAAGAAATAAGGCAGGGATAGATGTGGATTGGAGCCAAATTTCATCAACCGAGTCGACCTACACTCCGTTAACATGCACAGCAACAACATTTCAGACAGTCTAATTAGGGAATCATGCGTACCATGCGGTGAATATCCTGTTATACTCTCCACACTGGATGCATGGACGAATCATTTGCTTAGAGATAGTTCATCACGGTGGACTGTCAGTCAACTGGCTTTTGCTAATCTGGCGAAGCACGAGACACCGGTGTTTCGGTATTCAGTGTCTCGTCTGTGGTGCGCCTTCCAGCGGACCCCAGCCAGGTTCTGGCCTCATGATTTCCGGATATCAACAGCTAGTGACACTTCGCCATGGCGATTGCCGCTGCCGTTCGTGATTGACAGCTGACCATGATATAGCCCGGCTCATCTTCCACTGCCATGTCAGTTACGAACTGTGCGGAGAACAGCAACTAGCCCCACTAGCTTAACAAAACTGCAGCGTGTCGGATGTGACTCTTTACTGAATAAAGTCACAGCCCACAAACTAACAATATCAAGTTGATCATAGTCACACTTTTTCACCCTACCTGATATGATATACTTTGATGCACTCGTGAAAAACTGTTTATTTATTTACTCTCACTCTCCATGCAAGAGCATGGGAGTTGTGTACACATTGATCTGATCCCTCGTGGGCCCAGCACCTAGCAACATTTTAGAAACTCTTACAACTTATACAAATTTTGGCCCCAGCCGATTACATGCATGGCAACGTGCATGTCGCGAGAAATAATTGTTTGTAAATTTTGATCATGCCTGATTTGGTAGGTCTCGTTGAACTGGAGAAGTCTTTTTAATCTGGAAGAGCACCATACGCAGGTTCTTCGACCTTCTGGGTCTGATCAGTGGTGCGCCTTCCTACGGACCTCCGCCGGGTTCCGCTCCCATGACTTCTGGATGCCAGCAGCTAGTGGTACTTCGCCATGTGTGACAGCCGCGGACCTGCGTGCTTGACAATTGGCTATGATATAGCGCGGCTCATCTTCCACTGCCGTGCCAGTTATGAACTGTGCAGAAGACAGCAGATAGCCCTACGAGCTAGGGCTCTGCACTAGCGCCTTGGTACCACACAAGGACTCAGAAGCTATACGGACGGATTTTATATTACTAATAAGTAATGGGGATTCGCTATGCTTAGAGATATTTCAACACAATCAGCTAAGATCACAGGCTTTTTCTGTTCTGAAAGAGCACCAGACACTGGTGTTTCGACCTTCTGGGTCTTGTCATTGTTGTGCGTTTCAGCATACCGCTGCCGATTTCTGTCCCCTAGACTTCGGAATGCGAGTATCTACTCATGATTACCCATTAGCATTACGAACTCTGTCCCTATACCTTCTAAATCGTTATGTTTTACGAAGGCTCTGTGTGGAATGTCCTAGTTCGTGGGGTTGGCTGATGTGTTCTGCACAGCTCATAGCTGTCGTGGCAGTGGAGGATGAGCCTGGCTATATCACAGTCAACTGTCAATCACGCACATTCGAGGCTGTCACCCATGGCGAAGTGCCACAAGTTGTGGCATCCGAAATTCATGGGGGCGGATCCCAGTAAGGATATGCTGTAAGGCGCACCACTGTCGTGACACAGTAGTTCGAAACATCTGTCTCTTGCTTTTCCAGATTAGCAAAATCCTGCTGACTGAGAGTCGACCGTGATGAACTATCTCTAATCGTGCCAACCCCCCACTACTCATGAATACTTATTTGAGCCTGGCCTGGTCGAGAGGACCGTGCACCCCGTCCTTCAGCAAAGTTTCTCCGTCTTCTGTAGACAGTGTATGACGAGGCCGGGCCTTCTGATTTGACCGTGCTCTACTGAATACTGAAAATGTAGAGCGAGTAGTTAACAGTCTATGTTGCTCCATCGTAGGTGGATCGGGGACATGCGCCCAATCAGGTCGCTGACCCCTGCGCAGTGGCGGCATATTACAGCTGCGCTGAATCTTATCCTGGACACAGTCTACGGTTTATAAGTACTTTGGCAAGTTCTGGTGCAGATGCATCAGCAACGATGGGCGCATAGAAACTGACGTCAGCTCATGCATTGCAAATGCCAGAGCCGCCTTCTTGAACCTGCGGCATCTTTGGCGACAGAAGAGAGCTTCCCTCCACCTGAAAAACCGTGTATACAAGTCCACAGTGAAGGCCGTTCTCCTCTATGGTAGTGAGACTTGGCCCCTTCGGTCTGAAGATCTGAGGCGCCTTCAAGTCTTTGATCATCGTTGTCTGCGAAGCATTGCTGGTGTCGGATGACACCATCTTGTCCGCAACGATGATATGTGTAGGTGGGCATTAGGTGGTGATAATCATGCTAGCTCCCTAGAACAACAGATAGCAGTGAATAAGTTGCGTTGACTCGGGCGCGTGCTACGTATGCCTAGTCATCGATTACCTAGGACGGCTTTGTTTAGTCTGCCAGGTGTGGGGTGGGGCAAGGCTCGAGGTGGCCAGAAGTTGAATTAGCAGCGGGAAATGAAGTTACTGACGACCACATTGAGTTCCGTTGGTCCTGTTTCGCTTTCCGGGCCGGAGTCTACGTGACTCGCCTTGTGCATGGCTTAACAGGACATGGCTCGCAACCGACAGCAGTAGCGCGTCTGCTGCCGTCTGATCGGATTGTCCGTTTAAGGTGTAGTTGGTGCTGAGTTATCTGCGGGGTAATAGCTGCTTATGACGCGGAGTAGTGAAAGGCGCAAGGAAGCTGTCTCGCCGATGCCGCCTTATCTTTGCACGATAGCCAGCTGTTTGTGACGGTATCTTGACTACACAAGGTGTAGGTGCCTTGACCCTGAATGCTTGCTTAGGGCATTAAGATTTTCAGGTAACTCCCCTTCTCTCCCTCTTTTTATTCTTTATTTCATAGGTCCTCATGGTTGTATGGCAACGAAGCATCAGTTCAAATGGCTGATGTACTGCTGTTGATGATGATGTAGTTCTGGTGTAGGGAAAATCAACACTGTAGGGTAAGACCGACTCTTACCGGACTTGCATATTCGCTTACACGCACAGCAACCCGGTGATGTTTTACAAACACTCAGAAAAGTCTGCTTCACCCTTTCAAGGGGCAAGCGATCCGGTACGTTGAATACGACGGCGTACACGTTCCGTCACTTCGTTGCTAAGTATTGCTAACAACTTACCAGCTGCTTTCAGTTCGTTTGGATTATCGGTTTTCGTTAATCCTGTCAAATGCAACTGTGGTTTAAGGTTATCGTAATCACCCCTTATTTATACATGCTAAGCTCATTTCTAACTGCTGAATTTTGACCCGAGTTGCACTAATTGGGTCAATAAGGAAGATCCTGCACCACAGATGAATGTGCTGATGATGATGACCTTGTTGTTGTTGCCTGCGCTGATCTCTTTACAGCAAATGCAGGATTGCCCCGTTTGACTCACATTGTAAGGAGTAAACGAAGAATAACAAGGCGATAAACAACTGGAAAACCGTAAACTTTGGTACGACGCAGACGGATTGCATCCAACATTCCTCAAAACTATAGCTGAATACATCGCAACTCCACTCTTCCAAGTACTTCGGCACTCCATTGAAGTCGGCCTCCTACCCCCAGGCTAGAAATCAAGTACCGTCTTGCCCAAATACAAAAGAGAAACCATCAAGACCCAGCGTAATACCGGCTAATATGCATGGCATCAGTCGTATTCAAAACCATGGAACGAATATTCAAGCGCGCCCTCCGGCTGCACTGTGAGAAGCTAAACCTAATCTCTCCCGCTGAACATGGATTCCGGCGAGCACGATCTTACATCTATCTGACTAATCGCTAGAAGAACATGGGCAAAAGCCATAGATATCCGAAAACTTATTGACGTCTACATTAATTCTAGTAAAACCATTGATCAAGTTCCACGCGAATGACTGCTATACGAACTCCAAGGAATTGACATTACAGAAAATCTCTCTTGGATTGTCGATCTCTTAATAGGTAGGACCGTGTGCGTATAAGTAAACCTAACCGTCTCAACTCCGTGCCTATGACTAGTGGGGTTCCCCATGGATCCATGCTTGGGCAGCAGCTCTTCGAACTGTACATCAGCGATCCGTCGGCTGCACTTCAACCCAACTGCTTGATCTACGCCCATGACCTCAAGCGATGGCTAACAGCATCCAGCCTTAAGGATGCGGACAGATTACAAGGGACTCTGCATCAGCTACACAAATGGTCTATGAAGTGGCAACTGCCAGTAAACCAAGATAAATGCACTGTTCTCCCAATGGGTATTACTGGTCTGTACAGTGCATACCACCTTAGTGGGTTTCTCCTTACGCATGCCACTCACGACATAGATCTCGGGGTTATCCTGTCTTCTGACGTTTGAACATCGCAGGACATGTTGAATAAGGTGACCACTGGAAGGAGACTGGTGAGTACCTTAAGAAGACTATTCGCTCGAATGACTCATGAAATTTTTCAAACTTTGTTCACTTAGTACGTCCACTCAATTTTAGCATATGGCCTACCAGTTTCCATCCGCTTTCAAAGTTTGAAATCGCTCTGCTGGAAAAGGTTCAGAGGCGTGCAACGAAAGCTGTTCTGGGTCCTAGTGATTTCCCGTAACACATTCCACTCCAGCAGCTAAATTTTTTCTCATTGGAGTTCCGCCGTCGCTGATGTGATCACATCAACACTAGGTGTATCCTCCTAGGGGAACTTGGGATCGAATTACAACAGTTCTTCCGGCC